GTTCCTCACTCTAGCCCCCGGCCTCTGCTCACTCTAGGCCGCCGTGTGTGACGCTGTGTTTCGTTGTGAAAGCGAAACTACTTTGTTTGACCTTCCAAAAGAGGACACAACTAGAAATCAGTGGTTAAGTTGTATTTACAACACTGTTCCAGAACAGTTCAACCCAAATGATGTGTGCAACGCATTTTACGGAGGACTGTTTCCTGATCCTGGTAGAGTAGACTACAATGCCGTCTACACACAAAGACTGTTTCTATAAAGTGGGGTGATTCCAACTTTGCAAGGACAGACTGGTGCTTCTGACTCACAGCCTGTTAGTACGTTTTCATATTTAAAGAATTTGCCACTGATGATTCAAACGCGAGTTTTGAGCAGTTTAGAGTAGCGCTTGTTGTTTGGCGTTTCTCCGATCACAAATGCAGACATGGTTTTATGTTTACGCGGCGCGATACGCAACGCGTAAAAACACCGTATAAGTCATTATAATCAGTAATTATGTCCCCACTGGATGCAACAAGTGCCTCGTTTGTAATGGGTTTTAATGGTTTTGTCTCGTCACAACGGGACACATGGAAATCAAAGACTGTATGATGGAAACACAGTATGTTAGGGGCGTAACATTTCCGTCACACGCTTGAGGTATTCGGCCAATCACAACACACTGGATAGCTGGCCAATCAGACAATCACAGCACACCTCGCTTTTTCAGAACGATGAGCTTTGTAAAAATCGACGCGTTTCAGAAAGGCGAGGCATAGAGGAGAAACAATAATGTACAGTGTGTGGAAAATAATGTGTTTTTTTAACCTTAAACCGCATAAACACATTTCCTTACACCAAATACACAAAATAATGTTCTTTTTAGCAACATCATATGACCCCTTTAATCCCGACTTCCACACACTCAAATTGAAAGGCACTTGTTTGTGGTTACTAAGATAAATGCATAAAATGTATGCAGTACATGGATAATTGTGCGTGCATCTATTAATCATTTTGAGTCTAATATCATCCCATAGGAACCTTAGTATGTAATTAAGTAATGTTATGTACATGCAAAGTAATCCAACTGACATAAAGTGAAGTAAATCCAACGTAACTTTTTTTTTTGGTGTGTATTTATGTTCAGGTATGTTAAGGTTAGTATGTAATCACTCACATTTAACGTTATGCTAAATAAAGTTTTTGTTAGATATTGTTGCATAATTAAGTTATGTTAATGTAAAGTTTCCATAGTTTTTTTTTTTTTTGTACGTTTTTGAATTAAATGTTATACAAAATAACAGTTTTGTTAGGCTACTTGTGCATTGTTTTCATATCTCTCTGTCTGTAAAGCTGGACATTTAAATAAGGATCAAATGAGTGAGTTCAGCTTTGAGAATGAAAACCAACCTGTTGGTTCCTCAGTATCTTCATGTTTGGCTCTGAATGCTTCTTCAATCTTCATGTCTTCACTCTCCTCTTTAATAACCTCAATCTCTGTTTGTTCCTCAGAATCTTCATGTTTGTCTCTGAATGTTTCTTCAATCTTCACGTCTTCACTCTCCTCTTTAATAAACTCAATCTCTGTTTGTTCCTCAGTATCTTCATGTTTGTCTCTGAATGTTTCTTCAATCTTCACGTCTTCACTCTCCTCTTTAATAAACGCCATTTTTATAATAATGTGTCAGGTGGATCTCAGCTTCAGCAGGAGGTTTTCTGTAAGATTAAGATGCAAATAATTAAAGAAAAATACATGCAAACTAAATCTCTGGGAGCGTCTTAAACGGCTCCCTAATTCAGCAGTAAGTGCACTGCTAAGTAGGGTTGCCAATAATACAGAATCGTCCCATCTTTAAGGCAACAGAGAAGCGTTCCGTATGAAAGCTGTATGGAACACAGTTTGTCCTTTTATAAAACTAAGACATGAAAATGTATTTACGTTTTCCTTTCTGAAGTCAGCAGCCCTACTGGTAAGGGATTCATTGTTAGTTAATGACCTTAACCACCTCATATTACTTATATTTGGTATTCAATTACTTGTACATCATATCTAGATTCCACTTTCATGAAGACATTTGCAGCTAGTTTGTAAAAGTTATCATTACACATGTTTGTGTTTGTTGTTGTCTTTGCTTGTAAGTTAGTCAGCATGAGCTTCAAAACAGTGAATCATTTTATGAATGATTTGGTTCAGTTAACTTAAATTTTCCACACACACACACACACTCTCACACACATACTCTCTCTCACACACACACACTCTCTCTCACACACCCTCCTACACACACTCTCACACACACACTCTCTCACACACACACTCTCACACACATACTCTCTCTCACACACACACACATACTCTCTCTCTCACACACACACATACTCTCTCTCTCACACACATACTCTCTCACACACACACACACTCTCACACACACACACACACACACACTCTCTCTCACACACACACACACACACAC